TGTGTGTGTGTGTGTGTGTGTGTGTGTGTGTGTGTGTGTGTGTGTGTGTGTGACTGAAGTTCACTGCCATGGTCCCTCATTGCTGATAAACTCATGCCATCCTCAGCAGAGCTCATGGAAACACACACACACACACACACACACACACACACACACACACACACACACACACACACACACACACACACACAGATAGACGTCGGGCTGTATTTGTTAAGCTGGACATTTTTCCATTGGCCTTAAATGGAGAGTGTGATAATAACTGATGTTACACAAGAGCCTCAGCGCAGATTACACACTGTCACTCATTAACACACACACACTGAACTCACAGAGCAGGTGGAAATCACAGTGATTGTGTGTGTGTGTTACGTAAAGGCCGTCCGTCTGTCTCATTAACACACTGTAATCAGGATAATGAAGCTGAGTGTGTGTGTCTCTGCTGTCGCTCCACTGATCATCTTCATCATCATTACACACACACACACACACTAATGTAATAGATGAATTGTGTGTAATGTCTGGTCTTCAGTATCGCTCAGATGATGAGCACAGAGCCCTGTCTGCAGGCAGTGGTGTTGGGGGTACGGTGGAGTGTGTGTGTGTGTGTGACCCCAGCAGCGGTGACGTCCTCATCATGGAGGAGCAGAGTCACAGCACATCACCCCTCAACAGTGTGTTCCTGACTCTCTCTGCCGCTCACACTCATCATTACATAACACACACTCTCACAATACACACCAACACTACAGTACAGACACGCACATGCCTCCGTGTGTGTGTGTGTTCAGACGTGCTGACAGACAAGCATCAGTGCCAAGTTGTTTCCACTGGAAAGAATTTCAAGAATGAGACGGAACAGATATCAGTGACCCTTTAACCGCTAAACACACACACACACACACACACACACACACACACACACACAGGGATTTCCATGAGCATGTATGTTCGCTGCTGGATCATGATGTACAGTAGAGGTGACCTGTGCTGACCTCTGACCTCAGCACAGTGATGGTGGATGGTGGTGCTGGTGTGGACCTGATGAAGCGCTGGGCTCTGGATGACAGCAGATCATTAACACACACTCACATGAGCTCTTATTGAACTATTCTTCATTACACTGATACTATGGCTGTGTGTCATTTCACAGGCCGCACCCTTCCTTTAAAGGGTAACAGGCCAAGCAGAGAGTTGTGGAATGAGACGATCTGGGCTACAGCCGCCGGTAATGAACACTAATAACATCACAATGACTTCATTATTAACTGGTTTCAGAACTCATGTTAGGCGAGCTGGAGGTGAAGCAGGCGCTGCAGAAGCTGGAGATGTGTCTCCTCTGACCCACACATGTTGACATCAGAATGTAAAGGTACACGTCACACTCTGTTTGTTTTCACCAGGTGTTTAGATGTCAAATTTCTCTATTATGAAGTCAAATAAAGCCTAATTCATACAGTTTAGCCTGAGTTTCCTTTACAATCCTCCTGCTGTCATCAGCGGCCGATGAATGTTGGGATGTTGGAGACCGTGGAGGATTCACCGGTTGTGTCTTTAAAATCACCTGGAAAACGATGGGCGCATTTTGAGGCTGCATTTGATGGAGACTTCCAACTTTTTGATGACGCAGCACTCTTCACATGCATCCTTCAGAGAATGCAGCCTCTGAAATGAGACGCAGCTTATATAACACCACATGCTGAAATTAATCTGCTGTGGTGATTCTACAGTTGCTATGGTGACACTGCAACTATAGTGGCTGATCTGTTGTCATGATTCTACAGTTGCTATGGTGACACTGCAACTATAGTAGCTGATCTGTTGTGGTGATTCTACAGTTGCCATGGTAACTCAAGTATAGTTATATAAACAAGTGAGTCAGTTGTGTAGTCTCCTACAGCAGCACCGTTTACTGCAGTATAATCTACAGTGTTGATTAGAGTTTGTCAGCTCACTGAAGTTGAATCTCCCTCAGTCTGACAGGAAGCGTGCTCATTTCAGAGCAGCCTATACAGGAAGGCAATGTGCGGTTAGAGTGACTAAATACAGTAATGCTACACACACACATGCACACAGGTTCTGCAGGAAGTCAACACACACACACACACACACACATTTAAAACCTTTGTGTCACATTAAGACTGAGAGAATGTGGAGAAGCGTCCTGTTCCTCAGCTTACACTGAGATGACAAACAAACACTGCAGAGACATTCACAACAACAACAACACACACACACACACACACACACACACAGTTTGAACTGTACTGTAGCAGTGCATTATACTGTATTAAGCTCAAGTTTTGATTGGTGAGTGCTCCAGCATACTGTAAAACTGATCAACTCTAATACACACTGCAGTGCACTTTAGTTTATACTGCAGTAAACACTGGTGCATTGCAAGATATGGTCTATAGCTGTAGAGAACTACAGTAC